TCCTGGCAGAAGAGCCTTGCATCATTAGATAAATAAGGTTGTATTGTATGTTGTGCTTTCAGTCAATGTTCCCTCTAAGCTGTGGGGTTTTGTGAGCATAATTTCTACTTTGTGAGCTGCTGGCATTAAAGTTGTCAGCGAATGATTTGGCTGTTGCATAGATTAGCTTGCTCTGGAGTCATCCTCCCTGAGCTAAGACAAAAATCTGTGAGCTGGAGGCTAAAATTCTGTGAGCTAGCTCACACTAACTCAGCTTAGAGGGAACACTGCTTTCAGTAATGCGGTGCACTTTTTAATCTCCTTTATTTTTATTGTACGGTGGGTTAATCTTTATTCCCAGTTTGTAAATGAGGCTCCCAACGGAAGAAAAGTTGCACTAGGAAGAGAAAGCTGCGTACAAGCTTTTCCAGACATGGGGAAGGGAGGATAGATTTGAACCCTCAGTAAGTACTCCCAGGCAGTAGAAGGAGCTGCAGAGAGGAATTTGGAACTAGGTCCCGGTACACAGAGGGACCATTCCCTCTCAGTGTGCTTGAATAGCCAGTGATCTGTAAAGCTTTGGGCCTATAAAATATGATTCACAGCTACAGATGTTCTCAAACCCAAACCCTGAATCTTAGCAGCCAACCCCTCTGGAGAAATTCAGTGGATTTTGTAACAGTGGCCTCTTCGCTGTGTGGACTGGCGCCAAAGTGAAGGGGGACAGTTCCCCCCTCCTCCAGTCTTTTAAAGGCACAAATTCCCTTCCAGTCCCCATCTGTACGTCATTTCTGTGCTTAAGGCTACAAGCTGTTTGGTGGAATAGATGTCAGGGCTTACCCAAGATGCTGAGCTCATAGCATACCCTTCTCACATTATAGCATTTCCAGATAATGTTCTTTTCAAACAGCTGGAGGATGGTGAACCATCTGGTCAGGCTTACCGATCTCCAGGTGAAGCCTGGAGTTCTTCCAGAATTACTACTCATCTCCAGGCTACAGAGTGCAGTTCCCCTTGAGGAAACTGCAACTTCAGAAGGTAGACTCTATGTCATCACATCCACACCAAAGCCCCTCCCCAGTTATGTGCATACATGCCATCGAGTTGCGGGTGCTTATTGTGGCCCTCGGGGAGGGGCTTTCGAGACAAGTGAAAAGAAGAGCTGGTTTGCCATCACTTTCCTCTGCGGAGTCTTCCTTGGCAGTCTCCCATCCAAGTACTAACACCGCTTAGCTGTTGATGTGTTAAGAGATTGGTCTGTACCACGCTACCTCCCATTTAGCTTCCTCCCCCAAGTCCCCAGGACTTTCTCAAACTGGAGTTGGCAACCCTACATCTAGCACATGTAAAGTAGCTTGCAAAGGGTGGATTTGTGCGAGAATGGATGGGCGTTGAACTGAAAGGGACGAGAGGTCAAGGCCTGAGTGGAGAGCTAATGTAGCTGACAAGGGGGTTTCTTCCATCCACCTCCACTTTCATGCCAGCCGGTATGGTAAGTTGTAGTATGCCGGAGCTGGGGGGGGGGATTGCCAGATCTTTAGAGGTTTAGACCCTGAGATGGTAGGAAGGAGCTTGGGAGAGGATAGTGGTATCTCTTGTGGTATCTCTTGGAACCAGGGGATGGTGAAGGCCTGAGCCTGGTGTCTCAAACATGGAGCCCAATGGGCACAGTGATGTGGCCACACCACCCTGAGAATTTTACTCTTTCCCAGGAGTCCCTGAGAATGAACGTAAGCCCCCAGAAACTGCATCTCAGTGCTTGAGATCAAGCAATTCTGTGTGCATGCCTCACATAATTATCATGTGTGGTATATCCACTCAATGCATGCTTAAGATTTTGCAGGATTGGCTTCTAGATGTGTAGGCAGAAAGTGAAGTCATTCACTGACCTTTTGATGCACAGCATTCGTGCAAGTCAGGCTGGCGGAGGCTGGTTCCAGGGAGAATCTTCAGAGTTGTAGAACGACCAGTGGAAGCAGGAGGCACCGCTGGCCGAGTGGGTGGGGGCAAGAGGAGCCCTGTAGCCAGATGTTTTGAAGCAAGGAGGACCTGTTGGGTCAGGGAGCCATTGCAAGGACATCCAGAACATAAATGCAGGTTGCCTGAATACATTTATAATTAGATGGCATTAACTTTTGCCAAGATGCTATTTTATTTTGCCAAGATGAAATTTTATTTTATGAAACTCAAAAAATACAGCTTGCCAGTTATGAATGCCTGTGACCCAATAGTCCATTGGCCATAGCACATGCTTGCATCTTTTTAGAGGACATGGGCTCTTTTGAAAAAAAAAACCTGATGAAGAAGAAGAAGAAGAAGAGTTTGGATTTATACCCCGCCCTTCACTTGGAGTCTCAGAGCGGCTTACAAAGTCCTTTCCCTTCCCCTCCCCACAACAGACACCCTGTGAGGTGGGTGGGGCTGAGAGAACTCTGACACAAACTGCTCTTTTTCAAGGACAGCTGTGCCAGAGCTTGTGACTGACCCAAGGTCACATCAGCAGGTGCAAGTGGAGGAGTGGGGAATCAAACCCGGTCCTCCCAGATTAGAGTCCGCACACTTAACCACTACACCAAACTGGCTCTCTATGTTTTGGGTTTGGAAGGCTAGGAATATTCCTAGTGAGTAGCAATGATTGCAGCTTAAATGGTAGGAGATATTTAAAATGAGATTTGTCATCGTGACCACTTGCTTGAAGTAGTGAGTTGGGAAATAAGTCCTCTTTTTCACTTTTCAAAATATGGTAACCCTACTGATTCAGACTGTCGGTCCGTCAAAGTCAGTATTGTCCATTCAGACTGTCCACTCAGTGGCTCTCCAGGGTCTCAGGTGGAGGTCTTTCACCTGATCCTTTTAACTGGAGATACTGGAGATTGGACCTGGGACCTTCTGTGTGCCAAGCAGATACTCTACCACTAAGCCATGGCCCCTCACCAATGTGTTTGCAAATGAGTCTAGTTTTTATGTTTTCATATGAACAGGGAACAATATTATAACATCAATGCTTGGCACTTTTTATAGTGCTTTTAGTTCCAAAGTGTTTCATACACATTTTCTTCTTGTAATCCTAACAACAGCCCTGTAAGATAAGCCAGTATTTTGGCCCTCCACGTTGCAGGTGGGTTGAGAGAGAAGGTGGCTTGCTTAAGATCGCCTAGTAAGTTTGTGGCAGAGGTGCAATTTCACCTTGGGATTTAATAATCTGAGAGCCAGTTTGGTGTCGTGGTTAAGTGCGCGGACTCTAATCTGGGAGAACCGGGTTTGATTCCCCACTCCTCCACTTGTACCTGCTGGATGACCTTGGGCAAGCCGTAGTTCTGATAAGAGCTGTCCTTGAAAAAGAGCAGTTTGTGTCAGAGCTCTCTCAGCCCCACCTATCTCTCAGGGTGTCTGTTGTGGGGAGGGGAAGGGAAAGGAGTTTATAAGCCACTCTGAGACTCTGAGTAAAGGGTGGCGCATAAATCCAATCTCCTCCTACTACTACTACTAAGCGAACTGACATCCTTCTAAGCCCATTGACTTCAGTGGATTTAGAAGGATGTCCTTTGTTTTTGATGACACTTTTAATCTCTTGGGGCTGAACTAAATGGGACATTTTTTATGTCGGAATGCTGCATGTGCAGCTCCAGAATGGAGCAAATGATGCCCCGGGGTCTGTTTTGGCTGCAGAAAGAGGTGTGAGGGAGAAGGCAGAAGGGAAAAGGCCTCCTCCCTCCTGCATCATGGCCCTGATCTGAATCTGGCCCTGTGGCGCTTTAGAAACTAGTTCTCCTCCGCTGCTGTGCAGCTGTGGTGAATGTAAGTCTAGAACTGACTACTTCAAAAGGTGTTGTGTCTAGTTTGGTCTTGAATCACTATACTCCACAGGCTCTCCTAGATTTATATTGGTGGTCTAGAACAGGGTCCCTGCCAAACCAGTATCATGGGGTGTGGATCTCCTTTCTCTTTCTCTCTCTGCTCCTACTCTCATTTTGTCTTCCCGTCTCTGTTCCTTTTGCTCAGAAAAGCAGTGATCTCCAAACAAAAAATGGTATTCATGCTGTTTTTGTCAGCAGAAACAGGGAGGGATAGCACCAAAAGTTGAAAGTGGTACCCAGGTGTATGTGTGGGAATGTCTCTATCAGGGGTCATTTCGTAGAAAAAGAGGTGCAGGAGCTCATTAGCATAACTCATTAGCATACCTTATTTGCATATGCCACACACCCCTGACATCACCGGAAGTGTGTCAGACGGCAACACCCACCGCTCAGGCTCCACTGGACTGTTTTGGATTGCTAGCTATGGGAGGGGGGGGGAACGTGTAGATCTGTCCTCACAGAGGAGGGAGAGCTTGTACCTGAATAAAACTTGGTCTTAAAGGTGCCACTGGACTCTTTTGGGCCGGGGGGCTCTGCAGCTTACCTGGCTGCATCTTGCTCTGACTGAGGGCTGCTGGGAGCAGGGGGTGGGGCTTGTTGCATGTGCCTGCCCCCTGGGCTCTTTACTGCCGGAGCTCAGCTCCTGTGTGCTCCTGCAGGAAATGACCCCTGGTCTATACTTAATAGTGCAGAAAAATATAACTTCGTAAATTAACCAAACAAAGATTCTTCCCCCCCATAAAAAGCCCTCTGACTGGGTGTGGACTGAGTGTTCTCCAGGAGGTATGGGGTGCTGAGAGCAGCTGAGAGTCAGTTAAAAGGGAGAAACCATCCTGCCCAATCCCATTATAATTTATAGAAGGGGAGTTGTCTCCCATCCCACCCCACAATTCCTCCAAGGCCCCTATTTTGTATTTGTGTTATATATATATTACAGTAGATTACCTTTTGGAACATCAGTCCAATATTTTGTCTCTGTGTTGGGGTTTTTGGCTGTTGTCATAACCCACCTTAGGCTGGGGTGTGACCCATGTGGGTTTCTACCCACCGTTTGAAAACCAGTGTTGTAGAGAATGTCTTTTTGGGGTTCTGGCCTTATGGGTGCGTATGCTAGGAGAACAAAGGTCCTTCTGAGATTGTGTTAAGCTTTGCTCTGTGTTTCAGGGCCAAAAAGGAGATCCTGGATTGTCCCTTGGGAAAGCACGGAATGGTCCAAAGGTAAACCTTCATTCATTAAAGCTTAAACAAGAAGGGATGTTGGATGGGCTGGGGTTTGCCGTTTGAGTTGAATTTTGTGCATAGAAACCGTCACTTGATACTACTGCCATCATGTTGTCAGATTTATTTTCACCACCACAGGGACTTAGACATTCAAGATTTTTTTTTTAAAAAAGATCCTGCCTAAGGCTGTTTCCAGACTGTGGTGCAAATATATGCCCTTGCCACATCATCATCAGCACATCAGCGGCACCTGATCCAGGTGCATCTGAGAATGGCATCCGCTGCCACCCCATTGATGCGCCAGTGCGGCTCCCATTGGCCCGTCTCCTCCCCTTTTCCCTGGTTGTGACTGTGCAAAAGTACAGATGCTCCAGCAATTGTGGCAGGCCCTACTGTGACCTGGGAGCCCTCCACCCCCCCGCCCTCCATTTTGCCTTTCCCTGCTGAGCCATGCTGTAATCCTGCAAGGAAGCAAGGAAATGAAAAACAGGTCTCTAAAGGGCTATGAAAGGGAGACGGTAGTGCATGTTAGCAACCTGCCCTGTGCCAATTTGGACGTGGAGGTTAGCTCTGCCCCTCATGGCAGCTATGGGCGATTCTGTATTGGCTTTTCCCTCTGTTGTTTTAGCAAACCCATGTTGGAACAGAAATTCCCCTCTGCACTGCATGCTGCTGTCACTTCCTTCGATCATCGGATTTTATGGTACCCTCTGCATGCACGCCGCTTTCACTTTCTTTGATCATCAGGTTTTATGATTTGTTATTGTTCAGTCGCACAGTCGAGTCCGACTCTTTGCGACCCCATGGACCAGCTCCCGCCAGGCCTTCCGGTCTTCCGCCGTCCTCTGAAGTTTGCTCAACTTCATGTTCGTTGCATCGATGACACTGTGTAACCATCTCATCCTTTGCCGTCCCCGTCTTCTTTGACCTTCAATCTTTCCCAGCATCAGGGTCTTCTCCAGTGAGTGCTCCCTTCTCATTTGGTGGCCAAAGTATTTGAGCTTCAGTTTCATTATCTGGCCTTCCAGGGAACAGTCAGGGTTGATTTCTTTGAGGATTGACTGATTTGTTCTTCTTGCAGTCCAAGGGACTCTCAAGAGTCTTCTCCAGCACCATAGTTCAAAAGAATCTATTCTTCGGCGCTCGGCCTTCCTTATAGTCCAGCTCTCGCAGCCATACATGACTACTGGGAATACCATTGCTTTGACCATGCGGACTTTTGTTGGCAGGGTGATGTCTCTACTTTTTATCATGCTGTTTAGGTTCGCCATCGCTTTCCTCCCAAGGAGCAGGCGTCTTTTAATTTCATGGCTGCAGTCACAGTCTGCGGTGATCTGGGATCCCAGGAACGTGAAGTCTGTCACTACTTCCACGACTTCCCCTTCTATTTGCCAAGGAGTGATGGGGCCGGATGCCATGATCTTAGTTTTTTTGATGTTGAGCTTCAAGCCCACTTTTGCGCTCTCCTCTTTTACTCTGAGCAAGAGGCTCTTTAGATCCTTTTCACTTTCAGCCATTAGAGTGGTATCATCTGCATATCTGAGGTTGTTGATCTTTTCCCCAGCAATCTTAATTCCCGCTTGTGATTCATCCAGGCCAGCATTTCGCATGATGTACTCTGCATATATATTAAATAAGCAAGGTGACAGTATACATCCTTGTCGTACTCCTTTTCCTATGCTGAACCAATCAGTTGTTCCGTATCCGGTTCTAACTGTCGCTTCTTGGCCCTTATACAGGTTTCTCAAGAGACATGTGAGGTGGTCTGGTACTCCCATCTCTTTAAGGACCTGCCATAGTTTGTTGTGATCCACACAGTCAAAGGCTTTAGCATAGTCAATGAAGCAGAAGTAGATATTTTTCTGGTACTCTCTTGCTTTCTCCATAATCCAGCGAATGTTGGCAATATGATCTCTCGTTCCTCTACCTCTTCGAAACCCAGCTTGTACTTCTGGTAGTTCTCTATCCACGTACTGTTGAAGCCTAGCTTGTAGGATCTTGAGCATGACCTTGCTAGCGTGTGATATGAGTGCAATTGTGCGATAGTTTGAACATTCCTTGGCGTTGCCCTTCTTTGGGATTGGAATGTATACTGATCTTTTCCAATCCTGTGGCCACTGTTGCGTTTTCCAAATTTGCTGGCAAATGGAGTGCAGCACTTTAACAGCATCATCTTCTAAGACTTTGAATAGCTCAGCTGGAATACCATCACCTCCACTAGCTTTGTTGTTAGCAATGCTTTCTAAGGCCCATTTAACTTCACATTCCAGGATGTCTGGCTCAAGGTCAGTGATTATACCGTCGTGTTTGTCAAGGACATTGAGGTCTTTCTTGTATAGTTCTTCTGTGTATTCTTGCCATCTTTTCCTAATCTCTTCTGCTTCTGTTAGGTCCCTACCGTTTTTGTCCTTTATCATGGCCAGCTTTGCATGGAACGCTCCCTTGATTTCTCCAATTTTCTTGAAGAGATCTCTAGTCCTTCCCATTCTATTGTTTTCTTCTATTACTTTGCACTGTTCATTCAGGAAGGCCTCCTTATCTCTCCTTGCTGTTCTCTGGAAATCTGCGTTCAGTTGGGTAAATCTTTCCTTTTCGCCTTTGCCTTTCGCTTTCCTTCTTTCCTCTGCTATTTGTAAAGCCTCATCAGAAAGCCACTTTGCTTTCTTGCATTTCTTTTTCTTTGGTATGGTGGTGATTGCTGCCTCCTGTACGATGTCACGAACCTCTGTCCATAGTTCTTCAGGCACTCTATCTATCAAATCCAGACCCTTGAATCTATTCTTCACCTCTACTGTATATTCATCAGGGATGTGATCTAGGTCAAACCTGAATGGCCTCGTGGTTTTCCCGATTTTCTTCAGTTTAAGTCTGAATTTTGCAATGAGTAGCTCATGATCTGAACCACAGTCAGCTCCAGGTCTTGTTTTTACTGACTGGATAGAGCTTCTCCATCTTTGACTGCAAATTATATAGTCAATCTGATTTCGGTGTTGCCCATCCGGTGATGTCCATGTGTAGAGTCGCCTCTTAGGTTGTTGGAAAAGGGTGTTCGCTATGACCAGTGTGTTCTCTTGACAAAAGTCTGTTAACCTTTGCCCTGCTTCATTTTGCTTTCCAAAGCCAAACTTGTCTGTTATTCCAGTTACCTTTTGACTTCCTACTTTAGCATTCCAGTCCCCTATGATGATGAGGACATCATTTTTTGGTATTAGTTCTAGGAGGTGTTGTAGGTCTTCATAGAACCGGTCCACTTCAGCCTCTTCTGCATCAGTGGTTGGGGCATACCTCCTGCATAGATTTATGGCCATTCAGGGCTGACTTTGCAGTCAGTACAGCATTGGCCCGGGGTATTTGAATGTGGTTTTGAGCTGCACCTTTTCCTCCCTGTTGAATGTTAAATGTGGAGCGAACGCCAGATGGACAACCAGCCTATGTGTGGGAAGTCCAGACAGATGTTCCACATGCAGTCAGTACCTTGCAGTTCCCCCTTTAAACTGGAGGAAACCCAATTTTGCTTTTGACCAGATTAAAGGGCAAAGTCCCAGAATGAGCACAACCTCATGCAGATGTTCTCCTTAAATCCGGGTACTTCCTGTATTCTGTGTACTGAAAAAGCCCTGTCTGGAGGTAGTCAAAGACTCCTGAGGCCAGACCCCTTCCCCCAAAACAAAAACCCACCTATCTATCTTTTTGCAGGGAGATGTTGGATTACCTGGACTGACTGGTCTTCCTGGACCACCTGGTAGAAAGGTAAGAGCATTTATTTTTGACGTGGATCACATTTCCCTGAGTTCTGCAGGGGAAAGTTGGGTTTTGTTTTGTTTGTATGGGTGTGTGATCTGGAATGGATAAAGGTCTGAGGGTGGGTGATTTAAGCACCCCTTCCCTTTCAGTTCCCTGCTCCAAAGCACCTCCTTCCCTAAGTGGCTTTTCCAGTTGTTATTTTTAAAAAGGGCTGTTAAGCTGTTGTTAGATCTTTTGTGTTTAGCATGTAGTTTGGCTGAAAGTCTTGGATTCATGGAAGACAAGACAAGGGGCTTCCAGCGGAACGGACAGCCTGTATTGTACACGCTCCACCCCCACTTTACAAGTCAGCGTCCAGAATTCAGGCAAAAATTAGTGCAGGGTTTTAAAAAGAGTGTGTGTGTGTGTGTTACTGTGTGTGTTACCTGGCCGGACCTCCTAAATTTGTTTTTTTTTTAAAAAAAAAAGAGAGAGAGAGAGAGAGAGAAAGCTGTTGGGAAAATATTTGGAAGAAGAAATAAGCCTCTAGATCCTATGTTGGCATAGCCCCACTGCAAACACCTTGGGCTGCAGACAAGCAACGCTGTTCGCCTGCACGCTTTCAGGAAAGCTGCCAATAGCCTGGAAGCTGGCGCAAGTGACATAAAAGAAGCAAATAAGGTCCTTTTGTAGGAGGGGAAAGGATGAACGGCCCATGGAGAAGCTTGGAGATCACTGGTATGAAGTAGAAATGGGCAGAAACGTATCACTTCGCTCTTGATGGCTGGCTTGGCCGTACTTTTTAATAATATATTTTATTGTCATTGTACATAGTACAACGAAATTAAAGGTGCAATCGTTCGGTGATCTACAGCCGTACTCACATACACTCACACAACCATTCACAACCATCCCATAACTCCCTTAAGGTTCACATTGCAACTTAAACCACCAATGTCACCCAAATTCCAATTTCATACAGCATTTAAAGCAATAATAGCTCTCGAATAAAAACTATTTTTTAATCTTTTTGTCCTTGTTTTAATTGTCCTATATCTTCTACCCGAAGGCAGCAGTTCAAACAGGGAGTGTTCAGGGTGTGACAAATCCTGCCAGTACCACTGGCTGTTCTCGCTCTGTTGGGAAGCCGGTCCTGCCAGAGGCCCTTAGGATGAGCAGTGGATGAGGAAGGGGACATTCGTGCACTGATGTTGTTTGGCTTGTGTGTGTGAGTTTGCAGCTGATTTATGGTGACCCCCTGAGATTTTCAAGGCAGGAGGGCTGACAGAGGTGGTTCCCCATTGCCTGCCTCTGCACAGCAACTCTGAGAGCTTTAAACTGAAGCCGCAAGGGGAAGGGGACGATCAACATGGGGACTTCAATGAAGAAGTGGAAACAGTGGGGGCCCACCTGGGTAGGACAGGTCAAACAAAGATACAAGGCTACAAGTGCCTATATACCAATGCCCGTAGTATGGGTAATAAGAAGGAAGAGCTCGAGATTCTCTTGCAAACAGAGGGCTATGATATAATAAGAATCAGTGAGACTTGGTGGGATGACTCTCATGACTGGAATGTGGTAGTGGATGGGTATGAGTTGTTCAAGAAAAACCGGAAGGGTGGAAGAGGAGACGGAGTGGCGCTGTATGTGAAGAGAGGGCTAGATTGTCAGGAAGTTCTGGAGGACGTGGTTGACAGCCCCGTGGAAAGTATATGGGTGGAAATAAGGGGAGGTAGGACAAAGGGTATTGTTGTTGGAGTCTGCTACAGACCGCCGGACCAGGGGCAGGAAATGGATGCTGTCCTCCTTGAACAGACTGAACAGACAGTATCCAGACATCAGAACCTTATAATTATGGGGGACTTCAACTTCCCCGATGTGTGCTGGGAGACAGGCTCAACAAAGCTACAAGAATCACGCAACTTCCTGACCTGTCTGGCTGACAACTTCCTTTTTCAAATGGTGGAGGAAGCTACAAGGGGCTCAGCCATACTGGAATTAATATTAACCAACAGGGAAGAATTGGTAGATGGGGTGAAGGTGGTGGGGACCTTAGGGTGAAGTGACCATGTCCTCCTTGAATTCCAGTTGCTGTGGGGGATCAAGGAAGTTCGTAGCCAGACTCGTAGGTTAGATTTTTGTAGGGCCGACTTCAACGAACTTAGAGGCATGATGGGAGTCATTCCGTGGGGGAGTGTGCTGGAAAGGAAAGGAGCGAGTGAAGGGTGGACTCTTCTCAAATGTGAGCTTTTGCGAGCTCAAGCCCTCACTATTCCAGCAAGATGGAAACATGGTAACGGCTCCAAGAAACCAATGTGGATGAACCGAGAGCTCCAGAATAAGCTAAGGGAGAAAAATGAAATGTTCAGGAAATGGAGGGAAGGTCAGACCTCTAAAGAGGAGTATATGAGAGTTACAAGGTACTGCAGATCAGCCATCAGAGAAACCAAAGCTCAGTATGAGTTGGGTATGGCCAGGGTTAGGGTTACAATAAGAAAAACCTCTACAGATATATGAGAAGCAAACGCAAAGTAAAAGAGACAATTGCTTTTGGGAGTAGAAGAAACTCTGGTGGAGGACAGAGAAAAAGCAGACAGCCTTAATGATTTTTTTGCCTCTGTTTTCTCCCTGAAGAACTCAAGCCCATCTAGAGATGGTAGAGGACATGACAGGACACCTGAGTGTCTAGTTGACATTGACAGGGAGGTTGTGGAGAG